AGCCGAAATATTACAGCCTACGCATGTACTATGCCTCTCCTCAAGTCCATGAAAATCCAGGAATAATCGTTTATTTACAAACAGATAGCACTGCAGTTTTTCCATTGCTGTTACCACACATTACAACAACCTCTAATAACACAAATGAAATAAACCAAGTAAAGGCACCTAGCCGATAGGAACTAACCTACAATTCTAGAAATAACAATCAGAAAAACCGCCCTTCCCTCCTCTTGCAGTAAAGTAACCAGAGTGCCTCACGGTTAAAGAAGAGGTACTAGAAAAACACAGGAAGATCACAAAAGAAGCTATCGCCTCAGCACTTCATGCAAAAGTCCCTTTAATAACATATTTCCGTAGTTAAGCCAGAGGCTTCCGTCTTCAGAGCAACATTTCTAAGTTCCAATTCTCGTAGCTCCTCTTTCTTTCTCTTTGCTTCCTCTCTTCTTTTCTCTAAACCAGAAATATATAAAAATTGAATAACACATCGGTAGCAAGTATATGTAAGGAGAAAAACCTCTATATCGAACAGCTGCTGAACGGTTCTGCTCACGCTTCCTTTCCATCATTGTGAAAAGCTTCGCACTGCCCGCTGCCTTCGCATCCTTAAGTGTAACTGGCGAAACAGCCACAACTTTCGGAACCTGTTACGAATGAATGTAATAAAAGACCAGTAACATCCCAAACAGCGTACTTTATGCAGTACATCAACTATGAATACTAGAAACCGTGCACCGATCTTTTATTCATATACTATCCAGCTTCAGAAAGAAAATTGCAAGCTAGCTAAACTTCCAAGACATCTAGAAAAAAGACACAAATCCCACTAACTTTTGAAGGCTTCATTTTGCAGTCTACGTTCTCAATATTCCAATCTTTCATGCCTTCGTCCCCGACAAAGTGAATCGTCGTTCTTCCATCCGGGACCTCCAAATCTGTAGGCAGATATACACCCTCCTGCAAATACCTAGTATTATTGAAAACAAGCGTCACTGAAAAACATCTATTAAGCCGTGATATAACTAGACAAACTTGAAAAGCTTGAAATTTTACTGAAACCTTTCGTTGGCCTGCTTCCGAGATCCCGACAGAACTTTGTGAAATATCTCCACAGTCATCAGCACGAACAACGACCTCACGTGATGGACAAAAAGATACTTCAATATCAGAGCAAGAAACTTCAACATTTGGGTCAAAAACGCCATTTAAATCCATCCACTTCTCCAACCAATCTCCTTCATCATTTCTTATGTTCTCCAACTCCAGAAATGTGGGCGAATCGTTCTCCGAAATAACGTTGAACTGGTTACATCCAGCATCTGTTCCCCAGCTGTCTTCACAGGTAGAGGCTGGACTTCCCTCACTACCGAGTGATGTGGTATCCAAGAGACTTTCACAACGCCTGCAAAGAAATAAGTAGGTAAATCAAACACACAGTTCCTAATATTTAAAACCAATTTACCAACCCTCTGGCGAACAAATTGGAGCCCTCACTGCCAAAGAAGCAATCGCTTAACAGCGCACCATTTCCAGA